CAAAAAAAAAAAAAAAAAAGAAAGAAAGAGACAAATGGCTTAGAACTGAGAGTCCAGAAACATCTTCACATCAATCCGAACATTTTATTCTTGTCAAAGATGTTCTTGTAAAGAAGTGGGGAAAAGGTGGCTTATTGCATCGTAGCTACGCACTAATCATATATCCCAAAGTGAGAAAATGAAACCCGACTGCATCTCATACCATACACAGGTGGGTTCCAGGTGGATCATGTGCTCAGTGTGAAAACAGATGGCTCATGCGTTGCTGTTGGGAGTGTAAATTGATTCATCCATTTTAGGAAACGGGCATTATGCAGTAAATTAGAAAAAAAACAAATACCCAAGAAGGGTAAATAATACACCCCATGGCCCAGCAGTTTCAGTCCTAGTGCACAGCCAGTGGGAATCTGTGCACAGGTGCAACAAAAAACATGTGCAGGAACGTTCATCGGAGCCTTATCAGTCATAGCTCTAAACCTGGAGCAATGCGAATGTCCGTAAGGAGCAGTCTGGATAAATTGTGGTACATCCAATAAAGGAATACTGTACAGCAGTAAAAATGAAGAACCTCTAGCTATAGGTGACAACGTGGAAGAGTGTCACAAACAAACACACGCAGAAAACATTTACACATCCACCGTACAGAGTTTGCAGTTAGGCAAAACTAATGTGTGTTAATTGCCAAAGAAGAAACAACTCGAATGTCCACCATCCAATGAGTGCCTAAATAGACCGTGGGATGTCCATACAATGAAATGTCATTTAGCAATAAAAAGGAACTACTGACACATACATAGATGGATCTTGAAACCATTATGCTAAGTAAAAGAAGCAGTCATATATATATATATATTTTTTTTTTTCTTTTTCTTTTGGTACCAGTGATTGAACTCAGGACTTTGTGTTTGGAGGCAGGCGTGGCACCACTGAACTAAATCCCCGGCCCAAGCAGTCATAGTTTGTAGCATTCTTTTCATATGAAATGTCTATAGAGTGCTGTTCAGTAATTCTAGCACTCAGGAGGCTGAGGCAGGAGGATTGCCGCCAGTTGGAGACCAGCCTGGACTACATAGTGAGTTCAAGCCTGGCCTGAACTACATAGTGAGACCCTGTCTCAAAAATCCAAAACCAAAACCAACCAACAAACAAAATAAGAAATGTGTAGAATAGGCAACTCCATGAGACAGAAAGTGGCGTTCTAGGGTTGGGATAGCTGAGACGGAAAGGGGAAAATAAAAGTATTCCAAAGTTGATTATGATGATGGTTCCCCAACTCTGTGACTATGCTAGAAATCACTAAAGTACACTCTAAATGCGTGAAATGTGTGGAATATGGGTTATGTACCAATAAAGCTGAAGTAAAATAAGCCTCAGTTGCAGGACATAGCTTTTAAAAGACAGGCATTCCGCCTGGAATTTTTAAAATATAAGAACATTGTTTCCATCAAATTTGGAAATTGCTCTTACAGGGTTTTTTATTTATTTGAATTATGAGTAGTGGTTCACTGTGTACAAAATTTTAGATAAATGAGTCTATTAGATGTTAAGTTGGGTACATTAACAGGGTAACATCCAACAACCGGGAAGCAAATCTAACCCTGGCAAAGCCCATTTGTGGTTCTGAAGGACAGAGCGAAATGGGAGCGAGATCAGAGAAGCTGGTAGGTTGCTAAAGACCCGAAACAAAGAGCCTGAGAGCTCTATACCTCGTTCTCAGAAGCGTCTCTGAACAGTGGCTGTGATGTGGATGCCAAACACCTATCTGCTCCCTGTTCCCAAGAACCAAAGAACAAAGAACCCGGGCTATACTAGGCTGGGCCAGACTCGGTGCATGCCTGGTAACACTAAATGTTAAAAATACCTTAAATTCGTGAGTTAAGAGCCAACACCCAAACTCACCTGTGGAGTGAGCACCAGCACAGCAGTCCTCTGACTACCTCGGAGGGTGGGGATAGCGTGGGGCAGTGCCTAGGGGAGTTTCTGGGGTGCTGCTAATGATCTACTGCTTGACCTGGGCAGTGCTCACACCAACGTGTGTGCTCTGCAGCGCCCTCTGGGATGTCACTTGCATGACTCGTGCCTTTCTTCCCAAGTGTGTTGCAGTTCCACTGAGAAGTTGAAGAGAAGGCGGTAGCTATGGTGAACTCAGAATCCCCTTCGTTTGACCCCGTCGACTGGTGGCGTCCTGTGCAGTGCTTAGATTCCACAGAGTTGACGCCGGTGGCGCAGCTCCTGGGAAAAAATGGGGTGGGGGATTCTGGGAGTTTCCTAAGGAGGCTTCTAAGACTGCTTCACTTGTCACCGGTAGGGCACCTGTGGGAGCTGAACCCTTAAAGATACACGAAGATTTCACCCGAGACGGGAAGTGGCCAGTAGCCTCTTCTGTCACGCCCTCTAGGGATTTGTGGGAAAAGCATGGGGGGATTATGTTTGCTAAATTGTATACAGCATCTTGTCCAGTACTCTGAATGTAGAGGGCCCTCGGTGAATGGCAAGTAGGAGTCTTGTATTATTATTATTATTATTAATTATTATTACTAGCCCAGGCACGTGGTTTTCTCAACTGTGGTGTTTTGGACCAGACCATTTTTTATTGTGTGTGGTGGTGGTGGGACATCCTGAGCTTTGTAGCTCCACCCCCTAGCCCAGATGCCATCACGGAGTCCACTTTAGACAGTTTGGGAAGTCCCCTGAAGGATCCGTTGGAAGAACACATTTCAAGCCACCCCTGCGTCTCACAGCGGAGTCTGATGTGCCCACATCGTCTTTCCATCTGTGTGCAGACCCTGTGTACATAGCAGTTTCTGTCCCGCCTACCGGTGCCCTCCTCTGGGGCTCTGTGCAGTATGCCAACCCTGGCCCCTGTGCCTGGATCTTCCGGGGATCTGCCCGAGTCTCTCCATCCACGAGGCCTGCCACGAGGTGCCCTGCGCCCTCGTCTCCCTCACCATCCCTTTCTTGCTTCCTGCACACCAGCCACTCTAGTGTCCACCCTTTCATGTTCTTTCCTTTTTCTGGTTTTAAAAAATCACGGTACAATTTAGATAACATAAAATTGACCGTTTTTTGTGTGTGTGTGCGTGCGTGTGGTACAAGGGACAAAACCAGGGCCTCATGAATGCTAGGCAAGGACTTCACTACTGGGCACCACATTTGAACCCTATTTTTTTTTTGTATGGGGCATTGAACTCGGGTCCTTGTGCTTGTGAGACAGGTGCAGTGCCACTGAGCTAAATCCCCAGCTCTAAACGCTTTGTAAGTGTGAACTGCGAGGCACTGGGTATTTCACAGTGTTGTGCCACCATTGCTCTTACCCATTTCCAGCCTGTCTGCACCGTCCCACGGGAAAGTTTGTGTCCCAGTCCCTCCCTTAGTGACCTCCGTTCTGCTGTCTCTGGGAATTCATCTGTTCCAGGGACCTCACTTGCACACGTGTCCATACTTTTGATTATTCTAGGTCTGAATTCTGCAGACCCGTGCCACATAAGGTCCACACCAGACTGCATGGAAGGCCATGGCGGTCCCAGAAGCTTTAACAGAGCTGAGAAATTCCCGTCACCCACGGAAGCAAGCCTTAGAATGTGGTGCACTTATGTTTTTGGGCAATGGCTGTATAAACAAAGCTCCCACACAGCAGTTATCGATAGTGCATGGTGCTCGATGGTGACCATAAATGACCATGTTACTGGTTTGCTATTTTGCTATAGTCTTTATCGTTAGTTTAGAACGCACTCTTCAATGTTAAGAAGACATGTTTGCATGGGACAGTGGGCCGTACGTCTGGCAGCAGCCCAGACAGGTCTTGTTTGCCAAAGCTCTTTAAAAAAATGTTTATTGGTGCAGGTTTGCGGTACATAATGGTTACATGCATCGTGGGGGCTGCGGGCTGTACCTAACGCATCTTCATTCTTTTTGTGTCCCTTTCCCTACCCTCCCTCCATCTCTTGGTCCCTGACTGCAGTAAAAGGCCACGTCGAGTGAGTTACCCACACCACCCAGCGCTGTGTTACGTACGCTCCAATGGCTGTGCAATGATGAGATCACCTCGCCATGCGTTTCTCGCAGTGTACCCCATCATTTAGGGACATGGGACTGTGTTACACTGCGTGTGGCAGAACACATTTTGTTTGACAGTCGCTTGGGTGGTTCCACTTTTTGGTTGTTGTGAACAGTGCTACTGAGAGCATTGGTATACCTTTCTTTTTAAACATCTTGATTAAGACATGTTTTATTATTATTTTATTATTATTGCTACTATCTTGCTATGTAGTTCAGGTTGACCTTGAACTTACTATGTATCCCAGCTGGGCTTGAACTGTGGCAACCCTCCTGCCTCAGCCTCCCGAATGCTGTGATTACAAGACAGGCGTGAGCCACCACGCCCAGCCAGTTCTGGATAGTCCTTATGGAGGGACTTATATACCTGTGGCCTGATTTTCATCTGCTGACTTCACTCAGCATAATGTTTGTCAAGGTTCATCTATCACCACCTGTTTTATAAATAAAGTTTTATTGGAACGCGGCCCTACTAGTCAGTTTACATATTGTTCTGTGATGGCTTTTGAGCTACAGGCAGAGTTGCAATTTAGGAACCTTATGGCCCACAGAGCCAACAACAGTTACCTGGACATAAAATGTTGTTAACTGCTGACTGGGGCCATCTGAATTGTCTTTTTTATTTTTCCCCTCCCTGGAATTGAAACTGATAAAGGCACCAAAAGCTAAAGAACAAAAAGAGGAACAACTGATGGTGGAATCTCAGGTCAAGAAAAGCCAGCACTAGTGGGGCCACGAAATCAGCAGACTCAGGAGCCCCCTCTCCCACTTCTGAGAGAGCAGGGTGCAGATTCACCGGTCCAGCAGCTTTGTCTACCTGACCTTGACCTTGGGGTACCCCAGAAAGTGCACCGGAGCAGTGAGAAGGCCGTTAGGGGACGGAGGTCCCACATGCTGGGTGCACAGGCCAGAGAGGGACGCCCTGCTCAACTGGCCCTGTGTGGGGCCGAGCTCGGCAGATCTTAGGGCATCGAAGGACACCCTGAGGCGCTCATCAAACTTTCCAGTCAGCACACTACCATCTTTCTATGCAAAGTCTCTTCCTACCTGAATCTGGATGTGTTTTCACTTGGCAGTGTCTGATCGGAGACCTGAAGGCGCGGTAGATGCGAATCACACAGAGCGGGGAGGAACAGCATGTCTGAAGGTCCTGAGGTGGATGGGATTGTCGAGCACATGACAAGCTAAAAGAAGAATGGGATGCTAAGTGAATTAAACCCAGGTCAAGGCCCCACCTTCCCTCTGCCTTTCTGCTCACCTGTCTCAGGGGTTGGCTGCTTTCCTTCTCGGAGCAAAAGGGCTACAGCACCGCCCCGCACCCTACCAAGCCCTTCCTCCTGCTGTTTCCGAAGACAGCAGAGAATCTTCAAGTATGCACTGTTACGCCTCTTCCCAGCGCTCATTGGCCAGAATTGCACACACGCCCCCACCTTGACCAATGCGTAGGGAGGACAGATATGATTTAGACCAATCACAGTTCACCCCTGGGGCTGGGGCAGGGCCCAGCCTCACGCAGGGCTGTTTGGCTTGGAAGTGAAGTCCAACATAAAGGAGCAGCTGTACAGAGCTGGTCCCAACTGGTTGTGTCCTTTACACCTGCTACTAACCTGCTTTTGAGCATCTAGGGATTTTGGGAGGAAATTGACGTGACAGGATTCATTCTTTCACGCTCTCGAAATAAAGTGTGCAGTCCTCTGCAGATATTTTTTTTATAACAACAGAAGTCGTTGTTACTATCATTGGCCTCGCGCTATTATTATCAACAATACCCAGAAGCACGCACAGAACTCCCAAGGTTTTCTCCCACTCTCCTGCCCACAGCAAGAACGTAGCTCATCAGGGAAGTTGTACCTTTCATGCTTGAGCTGGAAATTGCTGCTTCATTGCGACTGGAAAACGGTGGAAGCAGCGGATGGATCTCCTCCTGGGAGCTCAGTCCCCAGGGTAATGACATTGGAACGGGGCCTGCCTGGTGGACGGTGACTGGCTGTGGCCGCCTGGCAGGCTGAGGGGCTTAAGGCTGGTCCTGTGGAGTGGGCTGGGTCTCCCAGGAGAGGGTTAGTTCTTGTGCCACAGAGAGCCTGGCCCCTCCCTGTCTCCTGCTTTGTCCCTTGCCATGTGACACCACCAACCAACTCTCGCCAGACATTGTGCTGTTTGGACTGTTCAGCCACCAGACTCATGAGCCAAATGAACTTCTTTTCTTTATACATTTCCCAGCCTCAGGCGCTTTGTTATAGCAGCACAAAAGGGACTGACAAGGCCCACCTGCCCAAAAGGCAACGATGATGGGAGTCAAGTAGTGGCCAGTCCCCACCCAACTTCCTCATTTATACAACTGGTTGTCCCAGTGGTGCCCTCACTAGGTATTCACTCCTGTGATAAATGAACGACATCTCCCCTGAGACTGGCTTATATCCTGGAGGCTCAGTCTCTAATGAGATGAGGTCTCACTGTGTAGTTCAGGCTGGCCTTGAACTCAGTAGGTAATCCAGCTGGCCTCGAATTCATGGTGACCCTCCCACCTCAGCTTCCCAGAGTGCTGGGATTATAGGCGTGTGCCACCAATGGCAAGGCATTCAGCGATGGAAATGCATTCGGCAGATGAGGGTGGCAGGAATGCGTGTGGCGGCAGCAGCCAAGCATCCCCTGCTCCTGCCACGTGGCCTCTCTCACCCAGCAGGCTAGAAGCTGCCCTGGAGGGCCCAGAGCTGATCCACAGACCACGCAGCAGAGGGGATGGGGTCTCAGCAATCCTTCTGCTGTGAGCTTCCGTCCAATGATAACATCTACTGCTTGTGGACCGGACAGTGCCAGGCATGTGACGGGCATTAGCTCAACCGATGATGGCACTGCCTTCTGAGGCAGCAGTGATCACCATCCTCGCCAGAGACTAGGTAACCAGGGTTAGAGATGTCAAGTCACTTCCTGTTGTGGTCACACAGCTAGAAGTAACTGGGAAACTGAGGCTGAAGAAGTGTGATTTTGCCCCTGCAAAGCGATCCAGCCAACAAAACTGAGGTTCTGCTGCAGCATGAATCTTTAAGGTCTCCCAAAGGCCCATGTGTAGGAGGCGCTACATTTAAGAGGCGGGGCCTAGCGGGAAGGGTGTGGCTTTGAAGGGGATTGTGGGATCCCAGCTCCTGCTCTCTTTTGCTGTCTGACCCTGAGGTTTTTTTGCCCATGGTAATGTGCTGCCTGGCCATAAAACAATGGAGTCATTGTTTTGGCTCAAAAACGATGGAGTCAACAAATCATGAACTGAAATCTCCAAAACGGTGAGCCGAAATAGACCTTTTCCCTTTGCAAACTGACCACTTGCTATCCTGGTGGAAGTCTGACTAGCACAGGCTCCATCTGCGGGCCAGTTGGAATCTAAAGCCTGAAGTTGAAATGGACAGCCAGAGGTGTAGACTGCGGCAGACCAGCATGGCTTTGGAGATTGGAATTTTGGCCCTTTTGTTGGGCTCCCTGGCCTTTATTTGACACCTAAATGGGAACCTACAAAGGCCACCTATCCAAAGCCTGTGTAACGAGACTTGGCCACTGTCACCTGTAGAGATTCTGAGCAGGCGGAGGAGCAGGTGGGCTTGAGGGTGCCAGCATGGGAGGGATGGCACGGGGGGGGCCTATGGGACTGCCTGGTCCCGGCTTGGAGGTGGTGACAGTGGGTGGGGGGACAGGAACTTAGCCACTGGCCAAATTCTGGCTGTTCTGGGCCAATGCCACAGGCCCGCATGTCACAAAGTTTGTGGGTCGCAGACCTGTCATCCTGCTGGCCTGGCCATTACGTTTGTGTACTCAGGGTCTCGGGTGCAGGGAGGGATCCCCCTCTGTGTGCTGGTGTCTTTGTGCTGTGGTTTCTGGTTTTGCATATGCTGACAGTAGCACCTGGCTTGTGGTGAGTACTCAACAAGTTGTACTGCTAATGATAGTCATTTTTTTAAAAATTACATTTTGTATTTTTGAGATAGGGTCTTGCTGTGTAGTCTTTGAACTCACTAGCTCAAGCTGGTCTTGAACTTGTGGCGATCCTCCTGCCTCAGCCTCCTGAGAACTGGGATTACCGGTGAGTGCCACCAAGCCTAGCCAGTAATTATTAATTATTAATAAATTATTATTGTTGCTCTGCTCCGTGGAAAGGGCCTGGCTAAGAGGTTCTGCGTGACTGGGGTCCTGGTTCTGCCTCATCACACTGTGACCTCAGCTCTGTGAGGCTTCGTGAGGCTCAGGGCCCTCGGACGCCGTGCCCTCCACCCTGCCCCTCCTTCCCTTCCTCCCCACACCGGCTCACAGCCTCCCAAGCTCGAAGCACACCTGGGCAGGCTGCTTCCACACAAGGTTCCCTTTAGGTTTCAGGTTCTAAATTTAGCCGAGGTGCACTGTGGGGCGAGGGCTGTGCTGGGGAGGCAACAGCCTTCTCTGCTGGTGCCGTTGTAGCAGAATGACCGAGGCTGGGTGATTCACACAGGGCAGAGGCTTCTTTCTCACAGCTCTCAAGGCTGGGTGCCCAAGGTCTCGGGGCCGGCCTGTGCGAGGGCCTTCTTACCGCATGAGCCTGAGAGAGGGGCAGAGGCAGGGACGGAGAGAGAGAGTCCAAGGGGGTGCCGAGTCTGCTTCTGTAAGAAACCTGCTCCCATAGCCTGTAATCTCAGCACTCTGGGAGGCTGGGGCAGGAGGATGGTAAATTTGAACCCAGTCCGGGTAACTTAGTGTCTTAGTGAGACCCTAAAATAAAATAATTTTAATCTAAAAAAAAGTTTAGAAAGGGCTGGGTTATAGCTCAATGTGAAGGCCCTGGGTTCAAGCCTCAGTACCACACACACACACACACACATATACACAAATAATGTTTCCAAAAGTAATGGACAAAAGGCTGGGTGTGGTGGTGCATGCCTGTAATCCTAGCACTCAGGAGGCTGAGGCAGGAGGATCGCTGTGAGTTCAAGACCAACCAAAAATAAAAGGACAAACCCCTTAATGAGTGTGGGACCCTCCTGACTGAAACCGTTCCTCTCACGCCCCTTCCCAGCACTGCTTCACTGGGGATGAAATGTGCCATGTGTGAATTTGGGGGGACATAGCAGGCAGCTTCTCTACCTGTGTAGTATTGTGGGAAACAAATCAGACTGCTGAATACTGTTCTGTCTTGAATGTCGTGGGGAAGTACTGGAGTTCTTTGGGGACACAGTTTTCATGTCTGTTGGCTCCTTAAGAGGCTAGTGATTTGGCTAAGCCCACACAGCAGTGTATGCTTTGGGCTGGGTCTTTTCTTTTTTCTTTTTTGAGACAGGGTCTCCAGGTTGGCCTCAAATTCACAGCAATCCTCCCGCCATCGCCTCCCAAATGGTGAGATTCTTATGGTAACACAAAAATAATAAATTTGTTTCCTAGAGAAGCAACAATGGTTTTATGGTTGAGAGCCAGATTACCTGGATTTGACTTCTAGTTCTGCCACTTACTAGCTGTGTGACCTTGGACAAATTATCCAGTGTTTCTGTGCCTCAGTTTCTCATCTGTGAGTTGGGAGATGGCCAAGTACTCAAACATGCTTGTTGTAATAAGCATTACATGACATATTATTTGTAATAAATAACTTTTTTTTTGTTTTTTGGTTTTTTGAGACAGGGTCTCACTATGTAGTTGAGACCTGGAACTCACTATGTAGCCAAGGCTGGTCTTGAACTCACAGCGATCCTCCTGCCTCAGCCTCCCGAGTGCTGGGGTTACAGGTGTGCGCCACTACACCTGGCTGTAAACTACTTTCAACAGTGCCTAACAGCTGGTAAAGTTTATGCGTCCTTAATTAAAACAATAACTGCCCGTCAGCTGCACGACTTTGAACAAGCAGAAATCATCCTGGCTTAGGGTCGGGAGGCACATGTTCTCCTACAGGCTCACCCAGTCATTTGCTCTGTGAGCTCCTTTAAGCTTCCTTCACTTTCTCAGCTGCAAAATACGAGGCTCTGACAAGTTCCATGACAAACATTTTTTAAAACACGTTACTCCAAAACTTGGAACAAGTTACAATTTCTCCAGATTCTAAAGGTTGGCTGGGCAGTTCTGCTGCTGGCCTTACCTGGGGACATTCGTGAGGCTGACTTTACCCAACGGTCACACGTCACGGCTCCCCTCGCGGCTGCTTCCCGTGGCTGTGTCATGCTCTCCAGATGGCTCATGGGAGAAGGGAAAACTCCGAATGGCATTTTTGTCTGCGTTTCATTGATCAGAGCAAGTCCCAAGGTCAGCCCGGATTCTAGGACCCCATAGACTGGGCTTCCTGTTTACACAGCCTCCCCCCGCACCTGGCACAGAGCTCAAAAGAACGCTAGGTCTCCTGAGGGGCAGCGAGGAAAGTTAGACCTCTGAGTTCTGTTGCCTCCTCTTCTTTCCTGGAGTCCTCCATGTACCCCAGTGTCATCTTCTCTAAAATGGGTGACCAGTGGCAGCCCCACCTCATGGGTGTGGGAGGCTGTGATGAGGAATGCCAGGCTGCCTGCCGGTGGCTGGGCCCGGTGAGGGCAGGGCCCAGTGTCCTCACACTGGACAGACCCCCAGCTTCTCCCCAGAGCCCCCTGCGCCCCCTCACTCAGTCCACAAACACGGGGTCTTCCTCAGGCTTTTTATTAAATCACACACAGCGAGGGGCATCAGGCCCCAGTGACTTCACTGAAATCACCCGGGGCTGTGGGGGCAGGAAGGAGGGGCTGAGAAGATCCACTCTCCCCAGTGCTCACTACAGGGACTGAAAACATCGCAAACCACCCCAAGATGGGCGGTACAAGATGTCCAGCAGGAGGGACGGTGGAGTGAAAGCCACCCTGAGGTGCAGAGGCTGACAGAGGGGTGCTGTGGCCTGAATGTGTCTCCCCAAATTCACTTCGGAGTCCTCACCCTCGAGAAGGTGGTGACAGGTGGAGCCTCACGAGAGGATCCTGCTCTTCTAGAAGAGGCCTGAGGGGAGTTTGTGCTTCTACACTGCGGACTCAGAGAAAACCCTGCCTGCCCCAGTGGGGCCTTGAGCTTGGACCAGGGCTGTGAGAACCCAGCGTCTGGCCCACATTGGCCCGATGTGTGAGGGACTAAGGCTTGGGACAAGCGGTATCTTTCAGCCCCGACCTCAGGAAGGAAGGGAAATGCATTTATCACTTCATCACGGAAGAGGCTCAGAATCAGGAGTGGGGAGGCAGAGCGGGGAGAACCAGCTCCCCTTTTAGAGATTGGTGCCTGAGCTGAGTGGCCGTGTTAGGTCCTGGGAGACCCGAGCCCGGGTGGCAGGGCCATGGGGGTGGGGCCGGAGCTAGGGGCGGGGTTCACGACCCTACTTAACTTGTAGATGTGTGGCTCCTCCCTGTTCTGAAACTGCAAACGCGGACACACGGTGGGTGCTTTCATCTACTCTGTTCCCAGCCGCCACTGCGGGTCCAGGGTCGGTCACGGGTACAACAGACTCTAATGCTCTTCCGTGGCCCCACTGTGTTGGGGAAAAAGAGGAGACACTGATCTGCTTGCACTGTCAGCCCACGTTTCCCCCCCAAAGCGGGCTGGGGCCAAAGCCACGCTTCCTGCAGGCCCTGGGGAAGGGGGCTTTCCCAGTCCCCTTAAGCTGGCTGTGATGGGGTCACACCCCGTGTCCCCTGAGTATAAGTGAAGGCTGGCCCAATCCCAGAGGAGAAGCGGAGGTAGAGAGGCCCTGGGAGGGGCCGGAGGGGGTGCTCTGCCCAGTGGGGTAATCCAGAAACGGGCCGGGACAGACATGTTGGGCAACTTCCTAACATTCCTCTCCAGCCACCTCGGTCCCGCAGGTTTGTAAACAGTGCCGACTGGCGTGCCACCCTCTGGCCATGGGGACAGCCTTCTGTGCCACTCCGCTGCCACCTGGGGCCTCCCCACCCCGTCGCCAGGAAGCTCACACCCCCACGGTGCTCTTCTCATCCTCTTTAGGGGTGGGGTCCTCCTGAAGCTTCTTCATCTCCCAGCCCCGGACCCAGGTGTAGGCGGAGGAGCCGCCCAGCACCATGAGGTTGCTGGTCCACCACAGGAAGCTCTTGGTCTCCTCGTAGTACAGGATGGCCAGCACCGTCTGGGCACAGGCCTTGGCCGTGCCCGACACGTTGTGGGTCAGCGGGCTGGTGAATTTGATCTGCAGTCCTGCCACATAGCCGACGGCGAAGCCAAACAGGCCGCCCAGCGTCATCATCCCCCAGAAGTGGGCACTGCCCAGCTGGGCAAAGCCCCAGAGGGCCCGGAGCTCCCCGAGCAGCACGAGCAGGGGCAGGAAGAGGACGCAGGCGTTGACGTTACTGTAGAAGGTCAGGCGCCAGATGCTGCCGTCCACCGCCGGGAGCACCTTCTTGGTATAGATGGCGTTGAGCGACACGCACAGGCTGGCCAGCACCCCGAAGATGGTGCCCATCAGAGACAGGGTGCCCTCAGCCCCCTCCTGGTCTACCCCCAGCCAGAAGCCACCTGCAGCAGGGAGAAGGGAGACAGGGACAGAGCGTGACACCAGCGTTCGCAGACGGTGCACTGCGGCCCTCGCCGTCCAGCCAGCCTCTGTCCCAGCAGAGGGAAGACATCCTGTCACAGCACTTCCCGATTACAACGGAGTGCCAGAAAACAGCACAGGGTGCCGTGCTGGCCTGGGGCGTCTGGGAGGTGACTGTTCTGCAGGATGGGTGACAGCTGTGAAGGTCACCGTGGGCAAGTGACAGGGTCTGTAAGCCTTGGCTCCTTCTCCCATCGATGTCATCATGGGAGCACTGAATTAGGTAGGCTCCCTTGTGGCCCTGGACCCTACTCTTGGGTCATGTTCTGATCAAGGAGCCTCCATGCTTCCCCACTGCCTGCTTTCAAGTCTATATTCTGGCCTTGCCTGGCACACTGGGCTCCCCCTACCCTTGCTGCCCTTTCTCTGTTCTGTGTGATCACCCCAAGTCACCCTCTAATGTCCGTGGCTTTTTGTTTTTTTTTAGGCAGGGTCTTGCTATATATACAGTTCAGGCTGAGCTTGGATTCACTGCATAGTTCAGGCTGAGATCCTCCTGACTCAGCCTCCCCGAGTGCTGTGATCATAGCCATGTGCCACCACCCCAGCTAATCTCCCCGCTTCTCACCCGGCGGCTTGGCTTGGTGTCCTTATTCCTATCTGCAACAGGAAACACTATTCGCTTTTGTGGGAGGTTTCCATTCATTCTTCAGCATCAAAGCTGACCTCTCCTGGGGAATCCTTTCCTGGTAACTCCAGCACCCAGACCTCTTCCTGGACTCTGCCTGTGAGTCCCATGGAATCTCTTGGTAGCTCTGGTCTGCAAGCTCCTGTCTGTGGTGACAGTCTGGTTTCCCAGAAGGCAGGAGCTGAATTTTACATGTCACACCTCCTGCCATAGGTCCAGCAATATGGGGTAGTGGGAAAAGCTTTGGTGTCTGAGAGATTTCGTCTCCAATGGAGCTCTGCTGTTTATAAGCTGAGTGGACTGGAAGAAATTACTTAACCTCTCTGAGCTCCAGTTTCCTTCATCTGTAAAGATCTGGGCTACTTTCTTTCACTGTTTTAATATTTTTTGGTACTGGGAATCAAACTCAGGCCCTTGCACTTGCAAGGCATGTGAGGTGCCAGTGAGCTAAATCCCCGGCCCTGGGCTACTTTCTTGATCCTCACACTAACGCATCTACTCTACACCTTGCAGCCAAATGCTCTTCCTCTTAGCTGCAGCCCTGGTGGAGAGCCCGCTGGGGCTCCTCACTGCTGTAGGAAAGATCGGACCCATCTGACGGGCTCTCGAGGCCTGTGTGTGGGATCCACAATATGGCCTGACCATGAGGATTGCTGTGGCCCAGTGCGTGTCCTTCCTTCTGCCTGGAATATCCTCTTCCCACCTCGCCCTCCACATCCACATAGGATGGCTAGATTGGCTGTCCCTCAGCATTCCCACAGCACCTCTATGACACAGCCCTTACCCCATCAACGTGCCTCCAGGGCCGCAGGACCTGGTATCCTTTTCAAAGCTTGTATCCCCCAAGCCTGGCACAGGGCCTGGCAAGGGCTTAGCCCTGAACAGCTGTTAAATGAGTGAATGAATGGATAAATAAGTGTTGTGCTGCAGGTGGTTGTAATACAAAAAGAGATAAGAAGCCGGATGTGGTGGTGTGCTCCTGTAGTATCAACTGCTCCGGAGGCTGAGGCAGGAGAGGATCACTTGGGCCCAGGAACTCAAGGCCAGCCTGGGCAGCACAGTGAGACCCTGTCTCCAAAAGAGACAAGGCAACTATTGCACTAAGCACTCAGCATACAGCAGCTCCCTCTGACCTCCCAGAGCCCTTGCCCACCCTAGATGAGCCGGAGCACTGAGCTGATTCCAGCAGGGACCTCAAACTCGAGGTGCCGGGCCCTAGAGAGCCTCTCAGCCAGAGGGAGCTCTGAATGGTGTACCACATGACACAGTACACAAGGAGGGGAGGCCAGGAGCAGCAGCTTGGGCTGCCCCATCTTCACCACAAGGAGGAAGGAAGGGGACACAGCTCAGATGGGGGCCTGGTCACGGGGCAACAGAGAGCAATGACGCAGGAGCTGGCTTCCCAACAGCTACTTGGGTTATTTTTGGACTGGGGCACAGTTTCCCCAGTGGCTTCATGTCCTTGCATGCAAATCCTCCTACCAGGACTGGAGATGCAGGGCAGAGAGAAAGTAAGGCGAGCAGCTCCTCAGGGGAGAGGGGTGCATCAGCCCCTCCCACCCTGGCCTTCTCTCCGCTCCCTTCTGGGCCTAAGACTGAGCAGCTGCTGAAGAGGGGAAATGTTTTCTAGGACAGATGACCAGATGATGGGCCCTTTCCCCTCAAGTGAGCACAGAGCCTGGCACTGCAAGACACCAGGGAGAATATGTAGGCCACGTAAGACAAACTTCATGGTTCCGGGGAAACCTGAGCAGGTGCAAAGAGAGATCACATTCCCCTGGGGCAGGGCCAGAAGGGCGCAGGGAACAGAGCGCTGGCAAGTGTGCATTCTGCAAGGATGGACAGGCTCTGTAAACTGTGCTGAGCGCCTGAAATGTGGTGACAGAATCAGGTTATGACACCTGCAGCCGAGAAACTCAGCCCTTAAAATTGCACTTAGCTGTAATTAATCTAAATATGCACATGGCCAGTGTACTGGACAGTGTAGTGCTAATGTTGGGTGGACAAGAACACAGCGGCGAGAGGTCCAGGTCTGCAGTCCGGCCAGTCTGGGTGAGTAACTTAATCTCTCCAGGCCTCAGTCTATCCAGAGATGATCCCAGGGTGCTACCACCCACAGGACTTCTGGACCAAGATGTCCCACGTGAGATGATCAGCACAGTGTCCTTCTCAATAGTTATTTTCTGATGGGTAAATCTGGGGTGACAGCTAAGGCCATGGTTTCAGGTTTCACTCTGAGAGAGACAGAGAGCAATGGACTTGAAAGATGGACTGGCTGGACAGGCAACTTGGACTCTTGAGAAACATCACTAGCTGAGCTTACAGATGGGCTGTGCGCTCTTGGACAAGTTACTCAACCTCCTGGGCCCTGGTTTTCACCTTGTAAATTGTAGATGGCAAGCCCATCTCCTTACGAGGATTAGTCACATTCATATGGGTAACCTGCTCAGATATGGGTGCCTGGCTCATTCTATTCTATTTTACTTTATTTTTTGGTACTGGGGATGGAACTGTGGACCTCACACTTGCAAGGTAGGCGCGGTGCCACTGAGCTAAATCCCGGGCCCTTGGCTCATTTTAAACAACCACTGCCAGCATTTGATACTGTAATTACTGCTATTATTATTTTTGCCCCGGCTAAGTTGCTAACCTGCTGGGTTATAATGGTCTCTCTGGGCCCCAGGCTCTCCTTCGAATGACGGGTGAACCGAAGAAGATGGGACACATAAAGTCCAAAGATGCCCGAAGGGTTGCTCCTTCCTTCCTTCGGGTTTCAGCCTCCAGGCCCACCCTGCTCCCACAGCACCATGGCCACTCACCGATGATGACACCGCAGGTGAGCAGGGCGTAGAAGGAAGTGGTCTGCTTGAGCAGCAGGTAGGAGAGGAGCACGTTGAAGACGGTGGTGAGCGATCGGCCCACGTTGTAGAAGGCCACGCCGACGTACTTGAGGCAGAGGTTATTGAAGGTGATCATGCCGATGAAGACCACGGACAGCGGCAGGACGCTGCGGGCCACCCTGAGGTCCAGGCGCAGGGCGGGGAAGTCCACGGTGCCCGGGCAGCAGACGGCCAGGGCGCTGAGGCCCTTGCACAGCAGCACGGTCACCAGGCACTGGTAGAAGGTGACGAAGATGGGGGTGTCCAGCTGCAGAGAGGGGCTGTCCAGCAGGTACTTGTTGAGGAACACCATGGAGATGGAAGTGACCCAGTAGAGAGAGACCACCAGTGCGATCTGCAGGGCCCGCAGCAGGAAGGGCTTCTCCCCGCTGCCAACTTCGGCCTCTCCGGAGGGGTCGGAGGCTCCAGTCAGTGCCATGTGCAGGATCCTGGACCGCTTGAGGGGCGCCCTGTTCATGGCAGCAGAGGAGCTGGGTCACCCTAGGGTACTCCCCGGGGTGCAGGGCAGGCGCAGCCCTTCGGGTTCAACAGGGGGTGGTCTAAGTGCCCCTCTTCCTCCCGGAGGAAGTTCTGCTTTGGGGTGAGCCCAGGAGGGCTGCTCCACAGCCCGCTTCCTCCCCAAGGGCGCGCATGGGAGCAGAGCAGAGGGAGGGACGAGGCGGGCTACGGTGGGGCCGGGCCGGGTCGGTGACCCGGAGGGGAACAGGAGCTGGGGCCTAACAGGGAGGAGGGGCAGGGAGAAAGGAGGGGAGAAGACTGGGGTGGGGGGCTGGAGCACGCGGGGAGCCTACGGGAGACTAGGGGCGTAGGGCGGTCAGAGGGGCTCCGGGAGGAGGCCGAGAGCGCGGGAGGGACCGGGCGGCGAGGCCAACAGCCGGACTCTGCCCGCAGCCTCCGGACCTCCGAGGCCACCTCCCGGGCGGGGCGGGGCCACGGCTCATTTCCTGACACGCCCCCGACCCCGCCTTAAAGGGCCAGCGCGCCCGCAGCCGTCCTTAAAGCCACAGCCCGGGAGAGCCGGCCGGAGAGGGTCGGGTGCGCGTCTGCGCTTCTACGCCTGTGCTCCGCACCCTGCGTGCTGGGCCGCTCTAGCGGGCGGCTCGCGAGGCTTAGTCCCCACCTTCTCGGCTCGGCGCCGGCCCATTTTCCTCTTCTCGGAATCCGGGGTGCTGCCCCCTGGAACTTTGGCCCCTCTGCTCCTCGCGACCCCTTACCAGCCCCGCGTTCCTCCACCAGCCCGAGCCACTCTTCCAGACATTGTCGCGGTCCCCTGCTCGGCGCCAGCGATTATCGCTGGCCACGGGCCTCTAGCCTAGCAGAGCCGAGGCAGCGCTCCCAGAGGCCGGAGGCCCCGTCCCCCCCAGATGCCAATCGGCGCACCCGTCTCCGCGTTCCAGACCTGCGAAGGCTGGGACCCGAGCTCTCACAGCACCCCTTTCCTGGGGTCCCTTTCTCTTCCAGCAAAAGCCGACCTCCCTCCGGCGCGGCGCAGTTTCCCCAGTTTGCGCTCGCCTCCCCCGGTGTCCTGGACGCCACCCCACTGCACCTGCCTCACCCGGGGCGACTTCCTGCTCTCGACAGTCAGGCACAGTCTCTCCTCCCGGCAAAACCATCCCCGCGCCCGTCCCCCTCCCGGGACGCCTCGATTCCTTTACCTCCGCTGGCTCTGCCCGGGACCTGGCTGCATCCTTGGCCCGCCACCCCCCAGCCAGCGCTCCCAGAAGTGCTGCTCTGCGACTCGGATTGGGCCGCTCCCGCCCCCTCCCAGGACCAGGCCCGCTAAGGGTCCCCGACTCACTAGGCAGCTGGAAGGACCGACTTCTCTCTGGTTCGCGCTGTAGCTCCAACGTTGGGCAGGCTAGATTTGCGGGGGTCGCCACCTGGGGCTCAAAGCTGTAAAGTGTGTTTGCACACTGGCACTGTCGTGTGTCTGATAATCCAAATACCATTTAATTAGCATTTGTCAAGACAAACGGACAGCACATGGAGTTATAGATCTAGTTGGCTTTTAAGAGCAATTCCTGGAATTGGGCCGCTCCCTTTTGTGAGACCTGAGGGAGCTAAAGTGACTCCATGCTGGCCTGTTAATAGGCCAGAGACTGTGCTTCCCCCTCTCCTTATCAAACTGCAAACAAACCTTCATATGCTAATTGCTAACTTGGTTAACAGTCCAACAGGGACAAAAGGTATGACAAAAGGTGACCATAAAACATTTCCTGCATAAAATAAGCAGTGTGTTTGGAATTTAATCCCCTGGTAGTTCTGTAAATGCCCTGACCTATGTTTGAACTTTTTTGTTTAGAAAAACCCTATAAAACAACCTCAGCCCCCGAGCAGTTGCCTCTCAGAACTGCTTGGCTCCTGGAGTGCCATCTGACCAGACTAATAAAGGTCTTCTAATTGCTGTGTTCCTCTCCTGGTGATTCTCTTCCTCCGTTAAATTCCCGGAGCCCTAGCTGGGCTGTGGACCCAGCATCGTGGAGGCCTTCGGACTGTTCAAGCTCTGTGGAGTGGAAGTAAGGTACTAGGTCTTACACTTTCTACAAAGTGGAACGGGAGCTCCCACCCAGGAAGGGCAGAACAGCCGCTTTTGTAAAGCAGGAACAAGGAAATGGAGCAATAGAAAAAATGGATTGGTTAACATCAGGTTACTTTACTTTTTTCTTTTTTTTTGGTGAGAGTTAAGGGAGAGGGATCTTATTGTTACTTGGACAGGTAAACCAGAATCTCCTGTTACAGGAAAAACTGGTCTAGTTTGACATCTATCTACTTCCTTAACGCTGCTGTTTATGCAGCATTTAACAAGGCCAATGAGCACAGCCAGGAGATAAAAGAGCGAGTTTATTATTTGCAGCAGGGAAGGGGGTCACAGTATAACTCCAAGGCAGGGACTCAGTTTTGTGGGCTTTCCTGCACTTGCCGAGTTCCAGATCAGGCTCCTTTATATATTTTGCAGGCTACAAGAGGGTGGAGAATTTAGCATTATAATGAGATTATAATGAATAGTGTCTGCAGTCACTTAGGAGTGGGACTGTGTGGTTTTGGCTGGTCTGAACTGGGTTTTTGAAGTTTCCTCTGGAAGGCCTTATCTGAAACAGAAAAACAACATTGAAGGGATGTTGGCAGTCAGTTAAAAGAGGCAGCTTCTTCCCCTGAGAGCTAAAAGTTCCTGTTCAGTAGCTGACAACTCCGTATTGGTTTGGTCTGGCTTGTTGAGGCTTAGTGGAGAAGATGAGTCCCAAACAATGGGCTTCTCACATGACAGTACAACTGGGACCGTGGGACCATCCCCTGCAGTAAGGTCTACTATGTGGGTACAGAGAGGAGAAAGACAAAAACCTCTGGAAAATTCGGAAGCCCCAAAGCAGAGTGCATGGGTGCCAGACAGCCTTCATGACCTACAGTAACTTTCTTTGCTCGGAGCCTACTGAAACTTCACACGTAATCCAATTATAAGAGTCAGTTATGGGAAGGGACGTGCGCAGTACACACAGCTCTGACCTGACTCAGCACCCTGTCAATCGCATTTTCAGTCAAGCTCTGGAAACCCAATGGGAGGTACCCTATTTCTGGAGCAACATTTTAAATTCTTATTTATTGATTTATTATGTGACAAGATCTTGCTATGTAGTACAGGCTGGCCTCAATCTCTTGGAGATCCTCCCTGCCTCAGCCTCCTGCGTGCTGGGATTATAGGCCTGTACCACCACACCCAGCTATCATTTTGATATAGAGGGAATAAGTGTAATTCCCAACCCATTAGGTGTCAGGCACACTGAGCTTGTGTTCCTCAAAATCGAAGAATGAATTCTGAGGGGCGACGGAGGTTAAGAGTAGGAAAATTTTATCGAGAGGTAGAGAGATATCTCCTGAGAGTCAGGAGGGGACCCGAAAGTTGGGTGCCAATGAGCCCACTTCTCCAAGGAAGTTTTCTAGAGCAAAATCGGGTACAACATGGGGCAAAACTACATTCAATCAATAAGATTACAAGCATAGCTAGTTAGGTGATATTGCCCTGATGGGTAAGCAGGTCATGTCATAAGTGGAAAGATCAAGATCAAGGACAGCCACCCTTTTAGGAAGAGATGGATTAGGAGGTCCTGGTCACCTACCTGGGTGACTGATGTGTATCCCAACTTGATTGGACCAGGTAATACCGATTATAATAGATTGCTTATCCCCAGAGGTATGTGAGCCCGGTCATTGTGTCTTTATTTTGAGGCCTGGTCTTCAGCAGATGCGCCTCGAGCCACAGTTGTAAACTGTTCTCATCCTCTGCACTGACACCCCTCGGGCCTAGCCCTGTCTGACTGTCTATAATACTTCTACCTAACTTAGCTCTCTATGAATTTTAAATTCTTACACCCGACACATTCAGTGCTCCCATTGTCCTTTCCAACAACATGAGCCAATCTCTCTCTGAGCCTACCCTCAAGCTTTGCTGTTTCTTTCCTTACCGTGGTGTGCAGTGCCCAGTTATTTGTTTGTTGTGCATAAGAGCCTAGAAACCTGTCCAGAACTGCATGACCCATGATAGCACTTCCGTAATTTTTAACACATTTAATTTTAGATGAGTTGACACTATGTTTGGGATGTGCTTAAGAGTACTTGCCCAGCGATTTTTTTTTTAGTCAGTAGATAAGACAAGATAAGCAACATGTTGATAATTGTTGAAGTTGGGCATAGCTATGTAATAGGGGTTCATTATAAAAGTTTCCTAAATTTTGTGTACATTTGAGTCTCCCTAATGAAAAGGCAACACATTTGCAGTACCTGTGAGCTCTCATGTGCTAAATGCACAAAAGTTCTGCACTTATTAGCCCTTGCTGGGCTTTGGGGACAGGAGAGAGCCTTTACCGGGAAGCCCCAGGGCATGCCCCTGCTACCCAGAGTGAGCTCAGCTTGGGAAAGGCACTGCAAAATAGAACTTTAAAAGTTAGAGATTTTTTTCTTTTGGAAATAAGCAACTTCTCCAAACTTCCCGCTGCTGAGCACGTTAGTCAACACGCTCTTGTCTCCTCAGCACCCAAATGGCAGAATATGTATCCAATGCTCGCCCCAGGAGGCCAGGGGCCTGGTTTCTTTTCCACAAGAAAGAGGAGGATGAGCTGAAGGTGACCGAAGTCATAAAGCAAGTGTGGAGATCTGCATCGTCTCTGTGTGCTTCCTCTCCTCTCTGCTCCTTACAGTAAAAGAGCCCACCTGTAAATGGCAAGATGGTGATTTGAAACAAGTGGGTCCCTCTATGTATCGCCTCAGAGATAGCTTTGAATGAATCCTTTTTCCTTTTTACCCAAATATATGGCCTCCTCTGTTTTGGTTGGTGGGCAGATGAACCTGTGCATTTGAACCTAAGTGGCCGGTAACATGCACAGGCCTGCCCTCTTCCACCAGGGCCTTGCTCTGGGATATCACGCTGGTCTTCTTCCTTCCGGGGGTGTGACTTCCTGCTTCCTAGTTATGGCAGGATCTCCCATGGAGGATGGCATCTGGGAACCTTATTACCTTTGGGAAAGGAAAGGCCGACAGGGACAAAGCTGGTCTCCTGAAACCTTCCCTACAGAGTTTCCTGCCTGGGCCACACTTGGGAGGTTTGAGGGTCCAGTCTCTTGCTACCGCAAAGAGGAACCCTACCATTTGTGTCACTCCCTTGGATCAAGGTGGTAATATGGCAGATAGGTAAGTGAATTAGGTATCTTGTAGGCAGTTAGGCAGGGCAGCCCTCAAGGAGTCAGCCCTCAAGGAGCCAACAGAGCAAGGAGCCAACATGGAGGGCAATCAAGACACATTCACTTAAGGCCAGAACTGTAGAAGGAGAGAAACTGCTATACCCTTGTGCTTCCCCTGGGGATAAATAGTAGTGATTTGATATTCTAAATAAATATCAGTCACTGGGTGGGGAGCCAAGGTCTTACCCCAGCCTTTCCAGGAAATATCCCTGACCCCCACCCTTACTGAAAATCCTTGTACACTTGTCGTGTGACTTGCTCCCCCATTTGACCCCGATTTAATCAATGTTACCTGGGTGACTGTACTTGTAATCTTATTGGTTGGTCATGGTTTTGCCCCACCTTACGTGCACCTTGTAATTTTCCATTGGGTCTTATAGTTTTGTCCCACTTTGTACCCACCTTACCACATGGCTTGGCTGTATAAAACATCTTTGAGAAGTGGGGTGGGCAGGCAACCCACTGTCCGGTCCCCCTTCTGTCTCTTAGACAGAAACTTTCTTTCCCTCAATAAAACTTTCCTACTCTTAACCTCTGTTGTTCCTAGAATTCATTCTTCGATTTTAGAGAACACGATATCTAACAAGTTTGGGAGTTACATCTCTTCCCCCTATATCAATAACAGGCCAGTACAGCAAATTTCCTAGGTTTAATCCTATTCCTTACGGGGGAAAGGGGAGGTGGTGATGCCTCTTTGGGGTCCAAGCCCTCAGGAACTGTCTACTCTATGTACACCATTCTCTTTTGAGTCTCATTTGTTTAATCCGCAAACCATTAAAGTTTTAGGTCTTGCCAAGAGTAATTGTCCAGTGTGTGGGGTTAGTGTGAGGTGGGGGCCAAAGATGATCAATGGTCAGAGATGGGTGGTAAAGAACCAGGAAGTAGGTCACCTGATGGGCGGGTTCCCATCTTTTAAGGATGTTGGCAAGAGGCCATTTTCCAGACGTTGTGAACACAACTAAGCTCCCAGGTGCAGAGGGTACCACATCTGTGCCTGTGGGGCCTCAGAGCTCCTGGGAACAGCAGGTGGCAGCTGTCACCTCTGAGTTCACCAGGACTCTTGTGCCTACGTGGTGAGTACCATCGTCTGCCAACATTTGTTCTCCCCTTCGCCCAAAATGATTGGGTTGCAATTAACATCACGTTGCTCAGCCAGATTGTATTTCCCAGCCACTCTTGTGGGCAGATGGCGCCCTGTGACATAGGAGATGTGGAAGGGTTGTGTCTCAGGTTAGGTGGCTATAACAAAAATACCACACTGGGTGGTTTGAACAACAAGCATCATTGTTCACAGTTCTACAGACTATGAAGTCCAAGGACACAGTGATGGCTTCTCCAGTGTCTGGTGCTGCTAGATTGAAGAAAGATGCCTTCTCTTTGTATCCTCACACAGCAGAGCAAAGGAAGGGAGGGAAGACTGCCTGACCTCATGCATCTCATAAGGGCACCAATCCCATCATGAGTACCCTACCCTCATGACATAATTATTTAACAAAGGTCAAATAGCTTCCAACAGTCAATGGCCAGTGTCTGTTTGTAGACCGAATAGAAGTCTGGCCATAGGAATGCCTGAAAATCAGGATCAGTTTAAAAACTTTAGTAACTGTTGGCTCTGGAAAATTATAAGGCTTCTCATACATCCCATATGTAATTAAAAATACAAAGCAATACTAAGAGTAGACCTATTGTGCATATAGTCTTTCAAAATAACTCAACATTGCTATTACAGTAGAATTGTAAACTAATGCCTACAGCTGCATTTCAATAAAACTTTATTTATAAAAATAAGCAGCGGGCCATATTGGTTCACTGAGTATAATTTGGTGATTCCTGATTTAGTCTATATTATCATTCATCCTCACTGACATTACCTATATTTTGTAAGTCAATGTGTCCACCTAAAACTATTAACTTACCCATTCTCTTGCCACTTGAGACCACATTTAATTCAGTAGCTTTTTGCCAGTGAATATTAAAATAACATTTTCTGGGAAAGTTTTTGCTTTCTCAGTATAGGTAAAGTCTTTGTTACTTCTATTTCTCATTTTTCTGCCTATAACACAGAACTGAGGTCTGCAAGAGCACTGATCATCTTGTGAAATAAAAGATATGAAGAGGAAAGCGAAGAACTACAGAGCAGAAGCACAGAGATATCTTGTGTGCTTAGAGTTTGTCTAACCTGACATCCCATGGGTGGCCTACATATTATTGTAGGAGACGAATACCACCCCGCCCTCAGCATAGGCCACTGTAGAATGGTATTATGTTGTTCATAGCCAAACACAGTCCTAATGAAAATGATACTCTACTGGGCAATTCAGTGCTATTACAACTCCTAAGGTTCTAGAAAGGCTCAGATT